TTTGTCTCTCTGTCTGCCTATCTATATCTTTCTATTTATTATACATCTATACCTATCTATTTTCTATCTATCTATATATCTCTCAATCTACCTACCTGTCTTCCTGTCTATCTGTCTATAGCCATATACACCTATCTGCACAAATCTATATCAACCTATCTATCTATCTGCTTACATCTCTATATATCTATCTATTCATCTATCTACTTATCTATCATTTACAAAATCCCATTATCATCAATTTTTTTCGGTTTTTATTCCTTCGAAGTCAAAATATAATCTTATGTCTCTCACTTCACGCTTTCACTCCACCAGTAGCGGGCAGTCCCTGTCGATGCCCGGGCGCCGCTGGAGCGTGCCGACAGGGGTGGGTAGGGGGGTGGGGAGATGGAGGGCAAGGGTAGAGGAAAGTGGGGAGGAGGGCGAGGGAAGGGGAAAGGGGGAATAGGGGCAGGGGGAGAGGAAAGTGGGAAGGAGGGCAAGGGGAGAGAAAAGTGGGGTGGAGGAAAAGGGAAGAAGAAAGTGGGGAGGAGGGCAAGGAAAGAGAAAAGTGGAGAGGAGGAAAAGGGAAGAGGAAAGTGGGGAGGAGGGCAAGGAAAGAGAAAAGTGGGGAGGAGGAAAAGGGAAGAGGAAAGGGGGGAGGAGGGCAAAGGAAGAGGAAAGTGGGAAGAAGGGCAAGGGAAGAGGAAAGTGGGAAGAAGGGCAAGGGAAGAGGAAAGTAGGGAGGAAGGCAAGGGAAGAGGAAAGGGGGGAGGAGGGCAAGGGAAGAGGAAAGGGGGAAGAAGGGCAAGGGAAGAGGAAAGGGGGAATAAGGGCAAGGGAAGAGGAAAGTGGGGAGGAGGGTAAGAAAGAGAGAACAGGAGTGGGAGGAAAGAGGTATTAAGGGCAGTGGGAGGGGAAGGGGAGGAGGAGAGAGTGAGTAAAGGAGGGAGGGGAATGGAAAAAGAACAGGCTAGATGACAAGGGAAAGTAGGGGAAGAATAGGGAAAAGGAAGAATGATGGAGGACAGGGGCAAGGAGAAAAGAAACGGAAGACAATAGTTAGAACAAGGTAAAGGTACGGGGAACAGGAGAAACGGAAGACAGGGGAAGAAAGGAGAGAGTTTAGGGAAAACAGAAGGAATGGAGAAAAGGAAGAGGAGGGGCAAGGGGGGGGGGAGGGTTGAGGCAGGGGAAGGGTAGAGGGGGCAGGGGTAGGAGAGTAGGGAATACCATGTCACGCTTCGATGCCCACACTTGCCTAAGGGATCACAGATGACTCTCGTTAAAGAAGTCATTGTGTAAATCAGTTGAAATCTATTGTACTATATGTCACTTTAATGACCCTATTTTCGACGTACATTGCTTTCAGTCCTAGTTTTCCAATACGGACCCTAATCTATTTAATAACGTTACAATTCAATTCTTGGTAAACAAACCCCCTCTCTTTCTAATTTCGCCGATTTTTATCCGTATATAATTCGTGGATTATTGACAGCATTGCGCGTAAAATTACAAACGATGGATATTTATGAATGGCTTGGTCATGGTCAAGAGATCACGTGATTGGATCTTGTTGGTGAACCGAATCCGTAAATTGAATCATTCATTGACAGTTCGATTCATCCCAATGAAAGGGATCTGTTGGCGAATTCGTTTCATCTAATTACCGTAGATTTGTGTATTTCGAAATTGAAATTATGGGCGTTAGTGAAAGTCTGCGTTCTGTATTATCTAGTGCAATTTTATTCTTGAAATGTATGCATGAGTACTCGTATGTGACCGTTTCCTTGTTTGTTTATGTGTATGTGTGTGTGTGTGCGTATGTGTGTGTATGTGTGTGTATCCTAGGGCGAGCATACTCAAATAAATAAACATGTACAATAAAATAAGCCTAAAGACTAATGAACTAAATTGCCTTGAATTGTTTTTTAATTAGAAGATTTCAGAAATGATTTAATAATCTAATTAGATTTATCAGTGAAATATGTTAATCCTTCAGACCAGGGAGAAAACAGATTTGAAAATAATAAAGGAATACAGTAAAAAGCCAGTACAAAGATAAATAGACTGATATAGGTATATATAGATAGACATAAAACAGACACACACATATGCAAATTGATTGAGAAAGAAAAGGAAAGAAAGAGCAGAGTCGCTTAAAAAAAGAAACATACGATATATCTTTGGTCAATAAACCCAGAGTCAACGAAAGTTTTCAGAAAATTGTTTTTTTTAAGGGGGTAGTGGTATCTGCGCTGTCGAATAAAAGAAAAAAGAAGAAGAAGAAACCATTTTTTTTTTTGTTAATCCAATAACTTATTGATTTATTTCAATTTTCCCTTTCACTCTAACACAACCCAAACAGCAAACATAATAACCTATGATAAACAACTTTCTAAGTAAATGGAAACCACATGCAAAATAAATAAACAATAACAAAAGATAATAATAATAACATTCTACCACAGACATAAATCACGATAGAGATATACATGTTTACAAATATCTCATTATATCT